CGCTTTAAAGCGCTGTTAAAGGCCAAAAAAAACGCTGTCTTTTCCCTTATTTGTAGTAGTGCTTATATTTCATCTAGAAATTGCTTCTTCTTTCTCTATGGGTGAATGTTCTCTTGATTCCTCTGTGTCATAACCTCTTTCTCTTTTTCCTCCAAACTTTTTACGTACAACACATAATGATCTCTTTTTTATTCTCCCTATTTTCCCTTTTTCTATTATGAATTACCCCTTACTATGCTTTTCCTCATATACCCTCATGCAATTACCTCTATACCCTTAAAATCTCTACACATTCTAATTTATTTTATATTTTTTGTTATTTTAATTATTAACAGCATAAAATTATTATTTAATTAATATAATATATTTTCTAACTCAAGGTCTTACGCACCCACCAATAATTTAATAAACACAAGAAATCACAAAATATTTATAAATAAATAAATACACAAGCAACATAATTTTTAAATTGAAGTGTTATATTAGTCACAATGAAGGATATAGAAGATAAGAGTATATTCCTAGCTTAAAAATAATATTTTAGTAGATATGCAGAAAACTCTTATATTTTCTTTGTTTAGTTGAAAAATCATATTCTTTATTTGAGCTGTGAGAGAGAGAGAGAGGAGAATGACTCTCGTCTTGTAATTGTGAGTTTTTAGTGATACATTTGAAGATGTTTTTTCTGTTAGATGATGGTTCTTCTCGATTGAAATCTAATTTATTATATATGGTTTTTGGGTTTTCCTTTTTTTTTTTTGTGACCTAATGCATTACAAATATTTCTTTTGCCTTTAAGAAAAAGCAAAACTTGTAACTAGTTACCACTAGCCATACAAAACATAAGGTGTTTAGATAAATTTCCGAAGCGATACTATAGGAGCCACATCTACGATGAGTGAAATATTAAGTTTTTTTGTCACTCCAAAACAAATGACAAGTCATATTTGATTGTTGTTAATAATACACACTTTTACACTAAATTTATAAGATGTAGCACGAGTGTACAAGTGAGTCTTTATAAAACTTTTTTCTTAAAAAATATATAATGTTGCATAATAAAAAATATCAAAAGTAAACCACAACTATTCATTCTAATTTTATGAAGCTATAGTAATTTTAATTTAATTAACATTATCATATTTGTTTTAAAGATTAATAAATATAAATATTATGGAATAGAGTAATACTTTTTAATTAAAAAGAAAAACAATCATAGTTTAAAAATAATTCTCAAAATATGAAAAATATACCAAAACATCTTAAAATACAATCAAATATATAATCTATTGAAGATGTTTAATCTTAAGACTCCAGCTCCTCCTCATTTTATGGTAATCCAAGGTATTTCGTGTCTTGCTAAGAATGGAACGTGTTAGAAAAACCGCGTCATTTCCATCTTTCTTTAACAGTTCATACTCTATGCTCTCTCGTGTCATCTGCATAATAGTCTGACATATCGGTAACACATCAACGATATGGTCATCCATGGCTTGTTCATTCTCTGGGATCTTCTCATGAGCAGGCCTAGGTGAACGTTCATGAGTGTCTGGTGTCATGACAAGGTGTGACACAAAATAGAACCAAGTCATGTAACCGTCCACATAAGACTAATGTTATGTGGCTTCTATCATCCGATGCTCCTCCGGTACCGTATCTCTCAAAATCTGCCAGAATGTCATCTAGAAGTTTGCCGACAATGGTCTCAAGAGCAACCTCAAAGGGGGATCGTGGAATGATCTACACATATCCAAACGACCGCATGTGCCACTGTGGCAAATACCTGCACATGATATTACTCCCACATGTCAGCTATTCAGAGTATAATGATATATGGTCAAACGAAATTTTGTCTCGATGAGAATTGTATGGCATCCAATTGATATTATCATGCTGAGTCAGATCAATATAAACACGAAATGGTACCACAACATCATTCCCTCTACATGGGCGATACATGCAAGCACATGGATAATCCTCAGTATATCCGCGCACACGATCAAATCCGTGTATGAATTGAAAATAAACAATGATCCATCCCCGAAAATGAATAAGAAAATAAACATTAGTAACAAGTGTGAAATTTTTTTTGATGAAATAAAAACATTAGTAATAAGTATGGAAATTGCCGTCAAGAGTGTGCAGGAGTCTGGCATTTGCTTTGTCCTCCAAACAGAGCCTTCGCTCAGCTAGGAGTATAGGTATATCAAACATGCGGCCCCCAGTCCCACTCGTGAAATATCGTCAAGTCGATGAAATACTTGAGGTATGCCATATCCACGTAGATTTCACTTTTTTCCACAAACATGGATGTGTCAACCAAGAATAGGAAGAATCACCTCAATGCACACTCCCTGTGGTAGCCAACCTGTAGATTATCGGTGTCGGGATCGTCAGCCAACTCCAAATTGTTTTGATACAACGTCTCCAACCAATAAAATTTGGCATGTGCACCCATGGTGTTCTCACACTACTGCATGCTCCAATTGGATCAACTCCTAAATAAATCACCACCATTTTCTTTGTCTCATCGCGCATGATCCTATAATGATCGAGTAATCTTCCTTTGATGGGAAAGTGTAGGAGGCAAGTGACATCACCTAATATAATCGTCATCTTGCCAATGAGGAAGTGGATATATGACATTTCCTAATACCATCTCTCAGCAAATGTCGCTTGCATGCCATGGGTGATGATGTTGTAGCTAGAAGAACACAAATCGACAAGACTGGAGTGCCTAAGCACACTTAGGAACCACTCTTACTATGGCGGAGAAAGCCTGTGAATCTTTCTGAAATGATTCACAAATTTCAAGAAGTCGCGTTCCTGTTAAAAAGAAAATATAACAGTCTTATTCGAATTGAATTTGGTTAAAATATAAAAATAAGCACAATTAAGAAATATACCTCTCCATCCCAAATATGCAGAGCAATATGATCTACAAAATATATCAGCAATGACGTGTCAGTGGGTCCTCATGAAAAAAGGTCTTCAAGTGGAGGGAGTCAATCACGTGTTGTTGGAGCCTCCTTCTCCTGGTGCACACGAGCCTGAGAAGATGACCCTTGTGAAAATTGGCTCCTAGAAGTTGACGTTTTTCTATCGTGAGGCCTAGGGACAGTTTCCCTCATACCTCTGGCCTGCTCATGCTGAAGAGCCTTCTCGCAACGAGCGAACGAAGTAAGGGTTTCACGATCGTGTCTCATCCAGTCATTTTCCTTGGAAAAAACATAAGAAAAGAGATTAGTGCATCAGAATGGAAAGAATTCAGAGATGTATCTCCAAACACCATAAATGACCCATTTAAGAGATGCATCTCCGAAAAACTTCGTGTTCTGCTTCAATGGCAACAACATCTCATACACTTTCCCTAACCACCCAAAAATCATTTCAATCATCCAAATCATATAAACAACTCCTACAAATGACTTATTTTGAATGCTAATACAACATAATGCATTAAAACTAACTCATTGGACCTAATACATTAATCAAAATTAAAAATAAGCTAAATGAGTAACTTACTCTAAAAAGTGTTGACGAAGGAACAAAGTTAATTGAAACAATGTTAGAGAATGAATAAAGTTGACTGGAACAATGTTGGAGAAGAACGAGTTGGAAAGAATAAAATGTTTCTGAAAATAAGAAAGAAAAGAGGAAGGGTCTGGCGCGAGATTTAAATACATTTATCTCGTTCGGAGATACATCTTCGAACCAAATCTTGAATTAAAAAAAACAGTACGTTCGAAGATATATCTGCGAACATACTTTAGAACCCCTTCGCAAATACATCTCTGAATTAACTTTTAAATAAAATAAAAAAAATGATGTGTTCGAAGATATATCTTCAAAAATAGAGAATTTTTTTACTTTTCATCATAGACCTGAGAGAATGTGACAGAGCGCAATGAAAAATTCTCATATATCAAATATGAAAAGATACAATGCGATAACCTAATAAATAAATAGTTTTTTTTTAAGAAAGATTTATTTAATTACTTTAATAATAAATAAAATATAGAGTTTAGAATAAGCTTGCATGAATTGTTCACTTCATATTTGACTTGGCAACAAAAAGCAAAAATCCCCACTTCCCATTGAAACTAATTCCCCTTTATTAGACTTAAAAGCCAGACTACATGCTTGAAAATTCAAACCTTGTTTTCCTCTGTGATCTTTAATTCTTCATGTATAGTATAGTAAGTACATAACAAGGACAAAGTAAAGTCACCTTTGCAAAGCAAAACCCAGCTTACAAGTAACAAATCTTCACTCTGTCAAAAATACCTTTTTAACAAGTCTCTATGTTTGATATATTGCTTCAAAAAGACCTTTTTAACAAGTCTCTATGTTAGATATATTGCTTTTGCAAAATCATACTAGTTCAACTAGCTTCATATATCAAGTAAATCACACATTTATTCAACAAATAGCCTAATACAATCAGATATTCATTGCTGCATATTATAGAAACATACAAGCTGTAACAAACCATATATGTTCACACTCCAAATAAATTTGGTAGAAGCTCTAATAACACATCAAAAACAGAATTAGAGCTTCAGTTCAGCTATCTTTCCTATACAAATCAGTTTTACTTCAATTCTAATCTATGATCTCTAGGACCATAGTGACACAAAACCTTGGATTATTATCAATCAACAAAACCAAGCAAACCAAAACTCAAAAATCTCTCAAAAAATTGTCCACTAGGCTCTACTAGTTGAACAAAAAAACCATAACTAGAGCCCAATTTCTTAATATGCATTTTTACAGAGCTGTTGCAGTCGCGCATCACAGTTCTTAGCATTGCGGAGAACTGTGATCAAATGTGGCCGACTTGGCCTCAACTGCAGTCACAAAAAGATTGAAAAGTATTATGTTGCTGTCGAGGTTGTGATCACATACCATACATTGTGATCAAATGTGGCCGACTTGGCCTCACCTCGCGAACAAATTCTAGGTTGTCTATGGAGACCAGTGGATTACGTAACTATAGTTTAGTGTATCAAATCACTTGCAAGAGGCAATGAGCCATTGCCTTTCTCCTTGATGGAGTTGAGCTTTTGTAGCCTCCATTCTCCCCTAAGACGAGCAATGAATGTTGCGGCCTTCGCGTTGACGTCAGGACTTGGACAGAAAACGTGCCCATTCCCGTTGCTCTTATGACTCATATCGGGGTTGGTTTCTGAAACTTCCCCGTCAATATGCTCCCGCTCAGGTGAAGTACATCGCGAGCTCTGGTTACTTAGTATCTTAACAAAATCCCCACGAAGTTCAAACTTTATAGGAGGAATCTTGAATGGTGGTAAAGGTGGTGGAATGGGAATCAGAGGCGACTGGTTGCCGACGTTTAAGGTGTCATTGATGAAGTTGGTCGGTTTGTTTGGCAATGGCGGTTTCATGCGGGTTCCCTGGCGAGGTGGTGTTGGTGGAGGCTGGGGGATTTGATTCTGAGGCTTAGAAAATCTCCTTGACGGCGGAGGAGGCAGCGGAGGCTGGGGGATTTGATTCTTCGGCTTAGATGATCTCCTTGAAGGCGGAGGAGGCGGCGGCGCTGGTACTGAATGAATTTTCTTACTCTTGCCCATTCCTTTCCTGAATATACTGTGAAAAACTGAAGGTGGAGGTAATGGAGGAGGTGGCGGCGGCGCTGTTGCGTTGTTTGTTAATTCATCAACATTATCATAATGGTGATTGTGGTCGTTTCCCAGTCTCTGTTTCTTCTTTCGCTTTCTCTGATTGGAAAGTACCGAAGCCCAAACCATTGCTATCTCTCTCTTGACGTTACTTTTCCTTCTCTCATTCTTTCCGTGTTTCTGTTCCGATCGGGTCTTCGCCGACGGGCGCAGAGGTGTCGGTGTCGGTGGCGGCTCAGCATCTTCAAGCTCCGTTATCTCACTCCTTGAATGACGCCGCCGAGAAGCAGGCGGAGGAGGCGGTGGCGGAGGCGGTGAGGATGTCTTCACCGGAGAAGGATGAATTTGGAAGGTATCTACAGGAATTTCCTTTATCTGAACTTGCTCTTCTGATTGACTTCGATATTCCGGCAACTGTCTGCGGTGGCGCGGGGTAGAAAATGTTGCTCTAGACGGTGAACGGAACTGTTTCTCGATTTCGAGATCATCAAAGAAACGAAACTTATAACGTGAATCATCGGTTTCCATCTGGCGTAGATCTGGGTAAGAACTACTACTTCTTCTCAACCGGTTAACACCGGTAACCGGTGACTGCGACCGGTTCGTAGTTTCATCATTGGAGAATCCAAACCATTGTTGCGATTCGTAACCACCACTAGTTTCAACTCTTTCGGAAGATACCGAAACTCTGCGGAATGCATGGTTATGATCGGGCGGTGACGATTCGTCGTCGTTTCGTCTAGCGAAAACGCCGAAGAGGATGGCGACAAAGACGAGGATGATGTTGAAGGAGTTCCAGTTCCAGTTCCAGGTGGTTTTGATGGGAGTGTGTTGGAGGATGTTGGTGGCGGCGGAGAGAAGTGGAGGGACGGCGAGGAAGAGGAGGGTTAAGGTGAGGATGGGTAGTAGAATGATGAGGAGTGGGAGGCTGATTAACGGTGGCGATGAGCCACGGTGGGGCATCGTTGGTTCGTAGTTGCTGTGCGTTGTTATGGGGGTATGGTTGGTTCGTCTCTCTCTGTTGGGGTATAATATTTGTTTATGGAATTTTGTTTCTATGATGTTTTATGGAGTGGCTAATTGGATACAGATGTCAAGTTCAAAAATTAAAATTTAAAAGTATTAACTTACTCAATTTAGACTCATATAATGAGATTGTTTATTTTAAGCAACTTTCATCTTCATAATAATTTATGAACATTAACTAATTTGATTGAAAAATGTTTTAAGATAAAGTAATAAGCTATGAGTACTTAACCAATTTTATTTATTTACGAAGAGCTCGGTACATGTAATAATTCTTTTTAATTACATTATAAGCAAAAATAAATAAATTAATCAATTAAGTTTTCATCTTATGCCTTAGATTTCATCCATGTTTGGTGGCTTATCTCTAAAGGAAAGGTATTGTTATCTTTCATTAATTTCAAAAGACTTATTTCATCTTGATTAATTTACATTAAGGTTTTTTCTTTGAGCTACTCTACAAAGATATTAAGGGTTTAATCAAATCGATTTAGATATGTTTTTGATTAAAAAAAGATCTGAATCAATGATATCTCTATCAATTTAGTTTGATTTTGTTTGATTTTTAACCATTTTCAGAAATGGAATCGAATCAAACTAATTGATTTGATTCAGTTTGGTTTGTTTCGGTTGATCGGTTTATAATATTTTTTTCAAATATTATATTTATCAATGTATTCTCCACTATCGTGTTTCTTAGTGTATTTTATGCTATTAATTTTTAAAATAATATATTTCATGTAATTTATTTCATTCTCTATTTTTTAAACAAATTATAAGTTACTCTTAATTCATACAAAACAATGATAGAATTTCTGTTGCATTATGAAATAAGTTCACGGTCAAATATAAAAATTAACACTTGAAATTAAAAGGTTGGAAAGGATTTGAAAGCTTAACAGATAGAATACAATTAAACACACATCAACTAACATGTTTCAGTCCTCAAACACACATCAAAACTAATTATTTTGAACAAGATTAGAAGAAATTTTGTTGAAAAAGAAAAACAAAAAAGGTAAAAAAATTGAAAATTAAACGAAGAAAAATTGAACACGAAGAAGATGACCATAATAACGGTAGAGGGAGAAATAATTGTTGTAGGCGGCGAGAGCAGCAGTTCAGTGAAAGCAACTTTGTATGACTTGTGGTTTCTATTTTCTAAGTTTTAGAGTTTGGTTCTAGATGCATATTTTCCTGATAGGTAGGAAGTGTGAATAAAGATGGAGAATGGCTGAACTGATACAAAATTTGGGCTTAATGACAATGGAATAAAAGATTTAGAGCGTAATTATTTCCATTGGTTTGGTTCATCGGTTTGGCGGTTCCTAAAAACTAAAACTGAGAATCGAACCAAACCACATCGATTTTTATTAGTTCGACTGAACCAAAATAATCTGTTTGGTTTGGTTTAGATTATCGTTTTAATTGGTTTTTTCTGATCCACCTACATCTCTAAATGAGACCATTTATTTCTTGTCATTTATTTTATACTTTAGGATAGTCTCTTCATCTCCTCCTCTTCTTTATTTTTAAAATCTTTTTGTTTTTAAACTTGAAACGTCTTTCTCAATAAACCTTGACTTTGTCAAGTGATTTTCAAAATCTTTTTCTTAATAAATGTCAAGACATCTTAAACATATCAAAACTCTTTTCAAAAAGACTAAAAAACATCAAACTCATTTAAATTTTTTGTGCCCTTTCTGCATCAAACAGGATATAAGAAAAATTGTTAATTCTAGTCCCTATTTTTTAGCAAATTAAACACATCCAATACATTATAAGCCATATCAAAATCAATATAATATTCTAAGGATAAACAAATTCAAAAGCATATGATATAATGCAAATATAATGCAAAAAAATTTAAAGAATGTAGGGAAATAAAAAATGTACATCAGATGTATAGTGGAGTGGCTCAACTAATTCGTCCTCATTATAGTTTAGTCCACTCATCAATAATTTTATCATTGAAAATCATAATGTCTTCACTACTTTTAAAGATAATAATATAAGTATTTTGATACAACAAATCATCATTAATCTGAACACTACAAGCCCAATGTTTCAACCAACACATATTAAAAATAATATCTCCTTCTACTGAAGCAGATTACTCAACTGTCAGTATTCAAGTCATGATAAAGCATGATTTAAAGCACAATTGTTTTTCAAAAGATTTTTTTATCACATGATTCGAATCAAAGGTCTGTGATTCAAGTCAAGGAGTATTGTGATTTGAATCACACATATTCCTGATTTGAATCAAGCTTTATAAAAACCTTGACTTAAGTATTCTAACTAGTGAATTAAGCTACACTTAACATATTGACTTAGACCAAATTGCTTAAGATGAAAACACGTTGTTGTGGGTTCAAAACTAATTTACTAAATGTAAAAGTGTCGCAAAGGTACACATCTAATCAAATGGTCAAAATAAACAAATCGCAAACAAATTAAAAACAAGCGATGAATCAAATTACACACACAAATCAATTTTTAACAGAACATCAAGAGCAATAAGAATAAGCAAAGTTGTTAGATTATACTAGGAGCGTTCTTTTGACACCATCCTTTCTTAACAGATGTCCAAAGTAGAAGGTTCTAGGTCCTTAAAACTCGACCCTACTCTAAAGTCTAGTTAAGGTGTTACATAAAGGTGCGCGCTATTCTAACCCTAAGAATCTCTCATTTTTAACTTTCACTAGCGTCAGAGTGCTTGTACGCATCCCTCGCTATTATACTACATCATTAAAGTACAAACACTACACCACAGTACACCATCATATCTCGGTTCACCGCTTTTTTATGAGACAATATTTAATTTTTCCGATACATTAATAAACATCCAAGAAGGTGAACAAAGGAAAAATAACAACATTGCACCATTATCAATCGCGTCAGTCCTTATCGCTAGTGAGAAAAAAATATAACTTAAAGGTTTGTTGGTTTATGTTCAAAGGTGATTAACTTCCTTTGAACTACATAATGCAAAACTCTAAAAAAATTGAGACGATAGATCCTGGCCATCAAGAAAAACCAACACTATATATGGTCACGAGAGGTCTGATACGAGTTAATGATGAAGCAATATCATACTATGATGAGGATTTGATAAAATTATCTTTGTCATGGCAGACCACACAGTATTCGAAGGCTTAAAACTCGTTCCATACACCATAGAAACACTTATCATTAAGATATATATCTCATGTACATGGTTGTCATCATAATCGATGCCATGGGAATTCATTCCCCTCCCTTTTTATAATAGAATAGAAGAAGAAGAATAAGAATAAGAATAAGAAGAAGAAGAAGAAGAAGAAGAAGAAGACATTCATAACATGAACGCATTCATCAGAAGAATAAATGAATATCCTATTTGTTGAGAATTACATAGACCCATGGGAATGGGCATATACGATAAGACAACATATCAAGATAAAAACATGGAAACCATAAAGGTCCTTCTAAGTTATTCGGGGAATAATTAGCTATCAAAAGTGTAAGTTATTTGTAAACACCTTAAAGGTTGGAGATATGGCATGACTTATTGGCTTAAGGGTAGAATCTGTCGATTCATGGGACAAACTACAAATATAATTTTTTTGCTTATTTTTACTAAATCAAGGAAACAACCAAAGTTGGTAGAGAGCTTAAGGTCGATAAGGCGGAAAAGGTTGAAACCTGCGACTTTACATATAATGTTAATAGGGAGTGCGTCCTGGTGAAAGGTGTGAATGACAAGATGACTAAATACCTCCTAAGACGAGGGATTTGTGTCAAGTCTAAGTTTGTAGAGAACGTATTCAAAAAATGCATTTAAACACATTCAAAGAACACATTTTGAAAGAATGCTTTAGTGTCGAGTTCTGTATATAAGGGGTTGAATTCCCTAAAAGAGTCAAGCCTCAACAAATATTGATAATTTTATTTTCGCAAGAGTAACAACCATAACTTGTATGATAGTGTTGTGTTTGATAGAGTAACGATCCAAAGAAAAACATATAATTCTTGAATTCATTTGCTATATTTTGCTTCCACTTGCCACATTTGATTTCTATAATTGAATTCTGATTTCACATCTGATTTTTTTTTTTGAAAATCATTTAAGGGGATTGGTATATTTAACCTCCCTTCAAGATTAAGCTAAAAAAGTTTTTAGTTATGTACATGTAAACATAAACCTAGAAGTATAGCTTAAAGAACATTGTTACACCATAATTAATCATAAAGCTAACCAATTTTGTCATATAATATATATGTTTAAATTTTGCGATAGGAATATGCAAAGAGAGAAGAAGCATCTCCTTAGGGACCAATATAGAAGTAATTGGGAAGGAATCTATATATTCCCCCTCAACGGTCGAGAAAGGTAGAAGCTCGAAGGAGATTTTAAGCACTACTACGGAAAAGCCATACCACAATAGTTGGAAAAGGGATACCATAACATATGACCAGCCGTTGTAAGCTAAGGTGTGATTTTATGTCTGATGCTTTCCGCCACGGTCGCGAGACTGTGATAATAAGGCAGGACATGTGCTACCTATCACAACGGTCACACTTATCAAAACTCAGCAAAAGCGATTTATTTGGAATATAAATAACATTTCATCACGGTTACAATAGATAACCGTTATGGAAAATATCCAGAGTTTATTATATAATATGTGGATTGCTTGTTTTTCTATGCACCTCACTAAAGAAATATAACCATTCCAATTGATGACTTAAACAAACCACTATTTTTTGAATTGCATGCATGTCACAATTCATTTCACGCTCTTTAACATATAGAATGTGGTTCATTGGTCTAAGTCATTCATTGCACCGATTCCTTCGATTCTAGTTTAATTTGAATAACATCACATTTTCGGCCAAGTCCACCTCAATAAATTGATGTTATTCAAATTAAACTATAAGAGAAGATATGAATG